GGTACCACTAGTTTATACCGGTGTCCACGTGCGCTGCTTGGTACGCGAACGTGCAACAGCGGCTTCAACGTAGGGAAGTGGCCCATGTGCATTATACGGTGCGTCATAATGAACTCAAATCGAAGTCGACGATATGACAAAAGCCCTAGTCTCCTAGATCGGTCTTCGTTTGGGATACCTTGTAAACTGTGGATGAAAAAAAAATGAAATGTGTCAGCTTATACGCCGTAACGACGCTTCACTGCCGCGCGACCACCACTAGTCGCGCGCGGGCTGAGTATACCGCGAGGACGCCCACCCCTACGCGGAGTCGAACCGGTGACCTTATGGTTGGAAAGCAAACGTGCCGACCACTCGGCCACCGGCCGACAGCGGGATAGCTACATGCTGGACCTGTTCCAGTTTCTGCACGTCACCTATTGTGATCGGGCAATAAGCGGGTGAGCCGTACTCAAGCATCAGTCTTATTATAGAAGAGAACAGACGAGTGGCAATCTCTTCAAACCAAGTGCAGCAGCTGCGTCTAAGTGCTCAAAGCAGGCATAGTCCGTTTGCTTACAGTCTGCACGTGTTGCCGGTAGACTTCAGGTCACAGCGTGAGAATACGTCTAGATCCTTTAAGGAACTGGTTGGATGCAGCGGGTGGCCGATCAGGGTGTACACATACCCATTACTACTCCTCCCCAGGCTCATATGCGAGGACTTGTCTGACCGGTAGGTCAGCTTCTGCAGACCACCGGGATAGGCGGTCGAAGTCCTGCTGAAAGACGTCACAGTCGCCGGAAGAATTAATGATCCTCCAAATCTTCAGGTCACCTGCAAATAATACGCAGGGCGACCGAAGAAGCTGATACACTTCGTTGATGTGAATCAGGAATAAAATGAGCCCCAGTACTGTGCATGGGAGTATGCCGTTAGCTGACGAGTAGCATTCCGTTAGGTGGTCATTCACCTGAACTCGCCATCCCAATAAGGAAGTCACTGATCCACTGGTGCATTGCGCCACCAACACCACACATCCTCAGCTTGTGAAGCAGGACCTCATGGTTCACTTTCTCGGAAGCTTTACTAAAATCAATGCAGATAACATCCACTGAGTTCCCCCGATTCAACGATTGCACCTATTCCTGCCGCATCAACATCAGGTTGGTGATGCACGAGCCACCCTTCATGTAGCCTTGCTATGCCGGCGTTAGGAGATCTTTCGACTTCAGCAGCTAGAGATGATCCATTTTCACAATCTTCTAGAGCACCTTCGCCAAAACAGAGATGAGACAAATCGGCCGGTAAATGTCTACATTGCGTGGGTCACCACCTTTTGGAATCGGCTTCAATACCGAGCATTTCCAGTCGCTCAGCAATGCACCCTCGGACAGCGATCTGTTGAACAGATCCGTCACGGCAGGCGAGATGATGTTCGATAAGGACTTCCAAATTAGCGGATGAAGTCTATCGGGTTCAGCAAGTTTTGTGCCATCAAGACTGGCGAGTAGGCTGCGGCCATCTTCTACACCACAATCAAGGCCCTCGAGTTCAGTAGGTGCTGCACACGTCGATCTCGGCATAAGCGCATGCCAATGCAGACGCACCTTCAATGCTGGAGCTCAGAGGCTGTTCGTCAGTGCCGTCCAACACAGCTACGTCACCTATGGGCCTTAAGCGCCGCTTCACGTAAGCAAAAATCTTCTTGTGGACTGTCTGCTGAGGTTGCAAGCTCCTCTCCGGACTGCCAACACTTTTGCGCTGTTGCACAGATTCCACTGCTTTTTGTACGCTTCATAATCGTCGATAGAGCCAGACATGAGGAATTTATTCCACAATTCGCGTCGCCGTCGAGCCAATTGCCTATACTCTCTGTCGAACCAATGTGGCTTCACTGCTTCAGCTTTCCGTTACTTGAAGCGTACGAAACAAGCGCACAACGATTGTCCATCCTCTTTTATAACAGACCAGCAGGCTTCAACAGATGAATCATACCTCAGCGACCAATCTGCTTCACTGGAGGCTCGATTAAGACTATTGAAGTGGGTCTTCCAATGATTGTAGGACGGCTCCATCAGACGCGAGTAGGGCAGCGGTAGCTCTGGACTGGCTAAGATCATCTAGTGGTCACTAGCTGCCCGAGACTGCAGGGCCTGAATTTCGGCTACACGTTGCTCGCAACTCCTTAGTAGTAGGTCCAGACACGATGAAACGGAATGGGGTGTAACGCGCGTCAGTTGGTGGACATGTGTTGCCGCCGTCACAAATACCATCTCAAACTGCGCCTCGCCTTCACATTGCACGGGGGAAGTTGGACATATTCGAGCAAAGTTAAAATCACCCCTAAGCAGGAAGCGGGGCCGACTCATGTACTTGCTGGCATACGGCAACCACTCCAGGCATCGACTTTGCCCCCACAAGCAGTTCACCCTGTCTCAGGTGGCTCGAGCACTATAACTTCTTCGCTACGGTAGGTGTGTACCAGTCTCCCACACAACGAGGGCCGAATGTATAACAACACGTCGCCTTGATCGTTCGATAATCTGCCTCATCGGAAGCACTAGTAGCCACTGATCTGGACTTCCTAGGTAGTGACCTCAGGATTTAACCAGGTTTCGGCTAGTCCTAATACGTCCATACGACGTGAGTCAACGGAGTGAGATACATCGTCACGTTTGTTCATTAAACTACAAACATTTGTAAAGGCTGCACGCAGACCGCGGTAGGAACCGGCAGACGCGCATAAAGTGTCGTCAATCTGTTGAATAGGCTACATTCGCTTAGGCAGTTGCTGTTTATGCCCGGTCGCTGCTTACCGAGGTGGGCCTTGTTTTATTTATCAGATGTAGAAGGGCGCAAGATTTGAGATAGTCAAACGTTGATTTGGTTGCGGGAAATGAAGTTAGTAACCAAGAAACTGGGTTCGGTTGGCCCAACCCGCCTTCCGCGTTGGAGTCCACGTGACCCATCTTGTGTTAGCTTGAGATAGTAAAAGACATCAGTGGTACATCTGCCTTCGTCTCGTAATCTGACTACTCGTTTAGAGTATTCGGTGCTGCGTTATCTGCGGGTCATAGCTGCTTATGAAGCGACGCAATTAATTCCGCAAAATGCTCTGTCTGGTTCCACCTTATCTTTGCTTGGTAGCCAGCTGTTTGAGGCGGTGTGTTGTTGAAAATATGTAGACGCCTTGGCCTTGTATCTCTAAGTCCCTCTTCTTTCCTTATTATTCTTCGCCCTTAAGTCACCGCAGTTGTGCTGCAGGGATGCATCAGTTCAAAGGTATGCTGTGATGCCAGTTTCCACGAGACGGACCACTTTCAAAGTCTGTTAGTTGCCCGATGTAAGACCCCGTAGCATACTGGGCCACTGCTTCTCTGGAAACGTTAGAAACAATACGCGTAGCTTCTCAGCTAGGCTCTATCCTCAAGGTTTGGTCGCGATGTTACAAGGACGGACCTACTCCCAGCGTGTGCATAGTTTAAGACTGCCTTCAGTGCACTACCGAAGGATTTGCGGAGACCAGTCAACGTACTCTAATTGGGTAGGTTGGCCCGACTCTTTAATCTCGTTATTTCCTTGGTTAACCCATGAATACGCACCAAACACGGACTGATCTGACTAGGGCGGAACCTTGGCTATCACACCCAATCACTGCGTGATATAACTTTCAGAATATCTCAGCGAACCTTGTTGGGTGCAATTTTCGATCGCAAACTGGACCTTCTTTAGTTTTAGCACAAAACCCTTCCTTTCTCCCGACCAACTCAAATTTTCAGAATTCGAGTTTATTTTTTGTACTCATCACGCACTGGTATTTTCCTTCGGTTTTCCTTCCTGTGTCTTGCTAACCTCTACTAATTGGCGCAACAGGGAATTCTGCTTCAGAATGCGTGGACAGTAAGTGGTTGAACAGAGTTTCTAACTACAGAGTTTTCTAACTACCTAAGTACCTTGCAGCGCTTTGTGGATTCTTGGCACAACGATGCCCTTTTGTAATAACGCCTACTGGATTCTCCTTTCTTTTCATTCCTATTTTAGCTTGCACTCGATATTTAGCCTAACTGTATATTGGGCGCCACGGGAGTACTGCGCTTAGTCTGGTGCTATTGCGCATGTTCTTAGGGTTGGTATCAAGGTGATGTGTGAATCACGTTGTATGTTGTAACCATAGTCTGCTTAAGTGGAACGTTTTCCACCTAAAATCTGCCCCGTTAATACCACCATTATTCAAACAATAGCCAGCTGTTTGTGACCATGCGATTTCCTTATCCAGGATTTTTACTGGTGTCATCTGCGTTTTGTCCCTCTTTCTTCGCTTCACTAGTATAGCCCTCTTTGTTTATTCCTGGTTGCGTGACTGCCATGCTTCGGTACACTTTCTGACTGGGCGAGAATTCGTCCTGGTCTGTTATTTCTAGCCTCTGGGCTACGGTTATTTTGCATAGAAATCCTTCAGCCTCTCGTACTTCCTGTTTTGCAACCGTCTGCTGAATTGTGTGACAGATTACGGTTCATCAAGATTGGTGATTACGCGCGGCAATTCTTTTCGCCGCTGTTATTGAGCCGAAAAGTAGGTGCCAGCGACACTGCGCTGTGACCCACGGTGGCATGGGGCTAGAAAGACTAAGACGTCGCACATCTACACACAGTTTAGAACCGATGAATTCTGGATTGCTAGCTGGACGTCTTAGCTACTTGCCCACTGGACGGCAACAATTTGCTTCACCTTTCCCGGAAGAACCACTTTTCAACGGCTTGTGTTATCCACCTTCTGCGTCTGTATCAGTGTCGTTCTACAAGGGATTTATGCTTGATCTTGCTAATTTTGGCCTTTTATTTATTTTGCTTGATCAAAGCGGTTACTTCTGATTCTAACATAAGGCTGCTCCTTTTAGTTTGTTCTCTTGTGATTTCCTTTTTGAATCGTGTGGCCTTTGATCACCCAAGTTTTGGCACAAATAGAGCCGCTTCTGAATGGTCGGATTACCTATCTAATCTGGGTCTTTGTTTATCAGGGCAATGCTCAGCTGAGGTCACAAATCAAAGATCCTTCTTACCTTTGGATTCTGAGACCGAAATCCGCACCTTTAACAGAACAATCCTCAACTGCATGTCCTGTCGATGAAAACATTAGTGCTTCCTTGGACCCAATGGATCCCGGGGCGCGGCAGACGGTTGAGCACTTATCCACGGCTGAGCAAGCGACTTCTGTGGATGAACCTTGCACATCTGAGGTTTTGGAAGCTTCGTTGCATGCAGATTCTAAACAAGGTATCCGTCAAGAGTGTAAGCACATGCTGGCATACTTCTGCATGTAATTTGGCACTTGACCAATTACTATAGAATTTATAGATTACCACAACATATATGGGTGATGGCAGTAAATGAGAATGCAAAATCCCTTCTTGTTGTTGGAATGCAGTCTTACAGCATTATGACCATTAAAGGCTATTATTGGCCTTTTCCGAGAACTTTTCCAATCAGATATGGACATGAGCCTTAGGTCCTTTTTATTGGTCACTTCCAGTACTGATGTGCGCACTTTTAATCGAGACAGTATCCCTAGATAACTAAGTTTCTGTATGGCCGAGTATATCCGTGTTGGAGGTCGATGTCAGCATACTAACCCTCTGAGTCTCGAACGACCCCCAGAAAATAAGGGACGTAGGACTGCCCCTGTAATACATTGGATTATGCTACAAATGTACATAAGGGAGTCTAAATCACGGTGTTTCGGTTGACCTTGATGCAAACGCTTTCACATTTTGTACCTAGGTCATACTTTGGCTATCCTGGTTTTATCAGAATCATTCGCAGCCTGTTCACGGGTGTACGAGGTATGTGCCCGTTTACCGAATCAAGTACCGTTAAATTGCACAGCGGTCTATCTGTGCTGATGATCTTCAATTGAACGTCACAACCACTGGTACGATACTGCCATCATACCCCATTAATTCAGCGACTTTTGCACAAATTGACCAATTCGCGCAGCCGTGTTGCAAAGCCGTTACACATCTCTAAAGATGGCTATCTCCACTTTGTCTCCAAACTGGATAGAGGTTTCTTCTCAACATCACCTCTGTACACTTTACCTAAAGTTGTGAAAAGCGTCAGTGTCAATTTCAGCAATGTAGTAAATTGGTGGTGAACGTTTTCAGCTTTTTTAAACAACGCTGTGAGAAGACGAAAGCTGGCAGATGTTAACATTTCGTATTGTCTCGTCAGTGCCAATACAATAACAGGAAAATATATATAACAACAGCTAGGGTGTGACCGGATAAACTAGAGACAGGGTGGGGTACAGATTTGCCACCCCTACGTCCATGGGAGCTTTAAGTTTACAAACAGCTGTTTTTGCACACAGAGTGCCGGTTTGATCCTGCTGATCGCGACAGCCTCGGCGAAATGTAGAATGCGGCTGTTAGCATGTCTCAACAAGATTGTGAACTGTGTGTCAGGGTTGAATGGATGACAAGTGGCCAATAAGTGTCTACCTATGGATGAGGCAGGTGGCTTTCGTGAACAGGTGGTAGACGAAGCGGAAGACTGGATAATTTCACGCTGCACCCACTTAGGTACATGTTCCCTTACTCTGGAATTCAACATTCTCTCGGTACGGCCTATGTAGCGTGACTCGCAGCTACAAGTGAATTGGTAAATGCAGTGTGAAATGGCGCCGAAAGCTTGTCTTTCCTTCGTTGGGGGAACAGGCACTTTGTTGGTTCGGTTAATAAGCACAGCTTCAGCAGCGAAATAGGTCCTGTGAACAGCGGAAAATAATCGCTTTGTTGTCCTCATGGTGGCAAGATCACCTTTAAACGGTAGTTCTATAAAGATCTTCTTTTTGGCCACAGTGGGGACTTTTTCTCTTGCTACTCTCGTCTGGCTATGTTTTACGATAAACCGGCGAGGATAACCGTTTTTTAAGAGCGTATTAGTCAACAGCTCCTGTTCCTCTTCCAGGCAATCGGGGCTGCATATTCTTCTTGCGCGATTGAACAAGGTCTTGACTAGTGTCCGCTTGTACCGCATTGGAGTGAAGCTGGTAAAATGCAGGTACTGCCCGGACCATGTCGATTTTCGATAAACAGATCGTTTGATGAAACCGTTTTCTCTACGACGAATCAGTACGTCCAAAAATGCGAGACAGTTGTTACATTCTAATTCACTGGTTACTCTTAAATTTGTATGTACACTGTTAAAATGTTCGACAAGACGTGCAATCTCTGTTGTTGATGACGAGAACACTAAGATGTCGTCCACATAGCGTTTGTAGTAGGAAAGGCGGGAAATTTCTGCACTCAGCTTTGTCTCTACCATGGACATAAAGAAATCCGCTAATACGGGACCCAATGGACTCCCCATTGCTACACCATCTATCTGGCGGTATGGTGTGTTACGGAAGTTGAAACTGATATTATCAGTGCAAAGTAGCAGGCTGTCTTTCAACAGCTCAGTTGGTATTGGGAGAGCTAAGCTGGAATGTTCCGCCAACTCACACACATACTCAATAGTCTCATGTAGTGGAACATTTGTGAACAATGATTGCACATCTAATGAACACATGACTATATCTGACAAGTCTATGCTGTCAAAAGTTTCTATGAGCTCAAAGGAGTCTTTGATACTGTGTGGAATAACATGCTTCTTTAACGGTGCAAGAACGTCCACAAGCCAGCGAGCAAGCTTATGTTGCGGGGTATTTACCATTGATAGAATTGGTCTGAGGGGTGTACCACTCTTATGAGTCTTCGGTAACCCGTACATTTGCGGCGTGGTGGACCCACTTGGTTTTAGGCTATTATACGTTCTCTCATCGATCGTTCGATGTGCAAGAAGTATTTTTAAGTGATTTGTGATGCGACTTTCTACGTCGCAAATATCGTCCACTCTGTTGAGACGTCTAAATTTGCTGTTGTCGTTAAGTATAACCTGCATCTTTTGCACGTAATCCGCCGTGTTCATAACAGCGGCTCCGGAGCCTTTGTCCGGTCTAAGTACTAGTACGTCTTTGGTCTTCAGCTCTCGAAGTGCATGAATATGACGTTTTGTAAGTGCACATCCTTCATTCACTGGGGTCAACATGAACTCATGAGCAATATCAGCTAATTTGTTTTTAAACCAGCTATGTTTATCTGCACTATCCGGCTGGAGGTCTGTTAACTGATCAAAAAAGTTCTCGAACTGGGCCTCTATTAACAAACGGTTTAGCTTACCAGGAGGAATGTTATAATCCAATCCGAGCGACAATGCCTCCAATTGTAAGTTATCCAACGGAACATTTGACAGGTTCAACACATACTCATTGGGGTCACGAGAAATGGTCTCCTCTTGGTTATCTACCAATGAGTTTTGTAGGCGATTTCTGCATCTCTCCTTGGTACGGTGGATGGTATAGTTGCAGAAATTACTGAATACTATCTTGCAGCACAAGGACAAGTCATCCGTAACGGACATCAAGCGCATATGCGTTTCGAGTAACCCAGTAAGTTTCGTTTGGGCCGTTTCTATTTGAGCGGAGGCAATGCGTCTGAAGTTGCCATGGGACGGCTTGAGTTTGTTTTTACGCAGTAGTTTTAAAATCGAACGTGGATACTGACGAAGGGCGATGCAGTTAGAAAAAAAAGATAGTTCCACACGGCAGCATGCAATTTTGCATCGCAGGCTAACTATACGGCGTAGTTGCCTGACTGAATCAACGGGAATTCGTCGTCTAAGGAATTTGAAACAGTTAGTTCCCTTGAACATTTTAAACAACGCTGTGAGAAGACGCTATGTGGACGACATCTTAGTGTTCTCGTCATCAACAACAGAGATTGCACGTCTTGTCGAACATTTTAACAGTGTACATACAAATTTAAGAGTAACCAGTGAATTAGAATGTAACAACTGTCTCGCATTTTTGGACGTACTGATTCGTCGTAGAGAAAACGGTTTCATCAAACGATCTGTTTATCGAAAATCGACATGGTCCGGGCAGTACCTGCATTTTACCAGCTTCACTCCAATGCGGTACAAGCGGACACTAGTCAAGACCTTGTTCAATCGCGCAAGAAGAATATGCAGCCCCGATTGCCTGGAAGAGGAACAGGAGCTGTTGACTAAGACGCTCTTAAAAAACGGTTATCCTCGCCGGTTTATCGTAAAACATAGCCAGACGAGAGTAGCAAGAGAAAAAGTCCCCACTGTGGCCAAAAAGAAGATCTTTATAGAACTACCGTTTAAAGGTGATCTTGCCACCATGAGGACAACAAAGCGATTATTTTCCGCTGTTCACAGGACCTATTTCGCTGCTGAAGCTGTGCTTATTAACCGAACCAACAAAGTGCCTGTTCCCCCAACGAAGGAAAGACAAGCTTTCGGCGCCATTTCACACTGCATTTACCAATTCACTTGTAGCTGCGAGTCACGCTACATAGGCCGTACCGAGAGAATGTTGAATTCCAGAGTAAGGGAACATGTACCTAAGTGGGTGCAGCGTGAAATTATCCAGTCTTCCGCTTCGTCTACCACCTGTTCACAAAAGCCACCTGCCTCATCCATAGGTAGACACTTATTGGCCACTTGTCATCCATTCAACCCTGACACACAGTTCACAATCTTGTTGAGACATGCTAACAGCCGCATTCTACATTTCGCCGAGGCTGTCGCGATCAGCAGGATCAAACCGGCACTCTGTGTGCAAAAACAGCTGTTTGTAAACTTAAAGCTCCCATGGACGTAGGGGTGGCAAATCTGTACCCCACCCTGTCTCTAGTTTATCCGGTCACACCCTAGATGTTGTTATATATATTTTCCTGTTATTGTATTGGCACTGACGAGACAATACGAAATGTTAACATCTGCCAGCTTTCGTCTTCTCACAGCGTTGTTTAAAATGTTCAAGGGAACTAACTGTTTTCAGCTTTCTCGGCCATTTTTGGGACTCCCTAACGAACATGCTTATTTCAAGCTGATTTCTCGAATGTACCAGGGAACTGGCGAACTGTTGAGTAGTTTTGTTGCTCCATGCACCCTTGACGCGACGTAGGTAATATGCTACTACGGTGTCACTTAAACTTTTTTATGGGAGTAAGCCTACTAGTAGGTCAGGATCAAGCTACAGCCGATATCTGTTCGAACTGGTAGGCGGATGTAGGCCGACATTTCGCTTCCACGCTGCTACGCTGCTACGATAAGTCCCGCGCGAACATGGAACACTGGTTCGTCGCGCGTACTCACACCATTTTAACCGGCGATTTGTGGATTACAAGCTTGGCGCCTTATACCAGTCGGCCGTTGGTCGA